TGCGGTCTTAGCCCAAAGGGTGTTATCCAGAATTGTGTCCGGTAGTTGTTTCCTCTCCTCTTCAGATACCGGTATGGTACTGGCCGGTAACTCATACGAGAGCCAACTTGAATCCATCATGTCCAGCACGTCAGAGGGTTTCTCAAGAATCCTACATATGACGCCATGTGAATCGGGCTCTTGAATGGTGGGAGGGACCTCTTCAACGATGACAGTGGCCTCTTGAACGGTGGGAGGGGACTCTCGAGGAATGATAGGGGCCTCTTCAACGATAGGAGTGGACTCTTGAGGGATGATAGGCGAGTCAGGCTTCTTCTTGCGGTGTCTTCGCACTATTGGGGTATACGGAGACTTAATAGCACGTGCACGCCGTCTGATGCGTGAACTCTGTCGTGCAAGAAAAACCCGACGTAAAGCATCCACCTTATCGGTCCGCTAAATAAAAATACAAATATCAGTAAATAAACAGACATGATATTTAAACAGTGAAAACAAAGATAAATACATTTCAAACTTTCAACCAAAAGACAAAACAAAGACAAATACTAACTTCACAGTGTTAAAGTAAAAAGTTTAGCAGTTTTGGCAGCAACCGAATAAATTTACTAAGCAATCTAAGTGAAATGGTTAATTTAAGTGAAATTACGAGTAAATTTATCATCAAGTTAAATATGAAAAATCTTAAACTTACCTCGTTGCGTAGAGTATGAACCTCATTCTGCAACCATACTACCATCTCACGTAGAGCGACAACCTAACCACGTAAAGTAGACACCTCCACACGCCATGCACCATCGTTATCGCGTAGAGTACCGATCTCCTCACGCAAGGCATTGACCTCATCACGTAACTCCCTTGACTCATCCCGTGGAGGTGGAGAACAGGGAGATAGAAGTCGTGGCATCTTTGTCGGTCGCCTATCATGAGGTGATGGTGGAGAAGAGACTCGATGATGTGACGGGATAGGTGATGGCTCTCGTTGTAGAGGTGTATAGTCGGGTCGATCAGGTGATGGCTCTGGGTGAGGTGATGGTCTCGAAGTGGAGGAAGTGGAGGCTGCTCATCATTCGTGCCATCAAAAAAACGCTGACTAGCTTGCCACCAATCAGTGGCAAGCTCAGCCTCCGTGGGTGTCAGTCTCATTAATGGAGTGTTGGCCTCCTAAAAATATAAAAACTAAAACAAAGTTAAACGTCTACTATTAATAACTTGTTTATATATGATAGTATTTGTGTTAACTTACATTATTTATTGTCGCATATGGTATTAAGTCTTCCCAATCCAACATACGTTTCCTCTTCCAGGAAATATCCCTAGGAATATCATCTGAGGATTTTAATGCATATGTCCGCATGCTGGGGAAAGCCTCGAATATCCAAATCTACAAACAATATAATAACAAACATTAGTAATTGTTAAATAATTAATTATAATTTTGAAAACATTATATAGAAATTCTTACCTTAAAGGACCAAACAAAGCCTGACAAAGTGTATTTCGACCCATCGCCCCGCAAACTTTTGCGGTCATCAAAGGCAGACGACAACTTAGTCCAAGTAGCTTTCCATATATACGAACCCCACGGAAACAGATTCCATGCATTTAGGTCCTCTACCAATAATATTAGCTCCTGAGGAATAGGTTGTCTGGCCTCTCTGCCTAAAAAGCCGGCATACAAAAGTAGTAGAAGGCATACTCGGACAACATCGACGTCATTCATCCGAGTAAAATCATCTTTCTTATTAAACAATTTCTTCATGTCGTCGACGTGTAAGTTCGGCTTCTCTATTGACTCATCAGGAAAAACCCTGGATAACCATGATGGGTGGGTGATATGACGAGTGTACCGGCCTACATCATCGTGTCTGAATCGTAGACCAGTGATTAAGCAGAACTCCTTCCGCCCAAAACAAGTATACGCCGGTGGAAAATGAAACCATATCTCTTCCTCACCACGTTGTATACTGTCGGGTAGATCGCTAGTCATGGTCTGAAGCCACAAATAGGTCAAATTAGCATCTCCACCCGGATGCTGTACTCTCAGCCATGGCCCGAAGCAGGTTTCTTCAAACAATTTTCTTTGTGCAGGTGAAAGCTTCGAAGCAATTGTAGTGGCTAGGCTAACTTTATTCCTTAATGTCAATGAAGCCGAAAAAAATTTCTACAAAAAAACAATAAACATACCTAGTTAGATATACCAAAAATTACACTGTCAAGATATACCAAAAACAAAACAATAAACATAAATAGTAGTTTATTCTTGAAACTAAAATTTGCAACACTGTTTTTGTCTTTTGGTTGAAATGAAAATCGCAATGAGATAATGAGAATCGCAACGCGGAAATGACTATCGCAACGAGAGAATCGCAACGCGAAATGACTATCGCGACCAGACAATCGCAACGCGAAATGAAAATCGCAATGCGATTTTGGTTTCGCGTTGCGATTTTTATTTCGCGTTGCGATTATCTCGTTGCGATAGTTATTTCCGCGTTGCGATTTTCATTCTCGAAACTATTCTTCTTCTGCATTACTTCGACTAAAAGACAAAGCAAAGACAAATACTAACTTCACAGGCTAAACAGTTTAGCAGTATTGGCAGCAATCAAATGAATTTAATAAGAAATCTAAGTGAAATGGTTAATCTATTATTGAAATTACCAGTAAACTTATCATCAATCTCAATATGAAAAACCTAAAATAATGCAAAAATTTCAAAATAAAAATAAAAAAACTAACCCTCGGAGGTTGATTTTCCATTTCTGAATGATTGTAAGGGATTTTTGACTGTGAATGGTTGTGAGGGATTTCGTCGGCGATGGGGACGGAAATCTTTGGAGATGAGGACGGATTTCACCGTAGAGAGTGAGAGATGGAGATGGGACTGAGTGTTGTGTTTTTGGGTTTGAGGTTATGAGTTGCGATTACTGTGGACGGTTCAGTTTCCGATTTATTAAGAAAAAATTCGTGTTTGGAATTTGAAAAAAAAATACGCGTTAATACGAATGTCGCTATGTAAATCGCGTTGCGAAAGTCAGAATCGCGTTGCGAAAGTCAGTATCTCGTTGCGATTTTGTATTATCGCATTACGATAGTAAGTATCGCATTGCGATAGTCAGTATCGCATTGCGATTTTCCCAATTCGCGTTGCGATTTACTTATTCGCATTGCGAATTGGGAAAATCGCAACGACATTGTATACCATCGTAACGCGATTTCCAACTATCGCAACGCGAAATGCAACGCGAATTTGCGATAATGGAGATCGCGTTGCGAATTAGCAATCGCATTGCGATTTTGTTGGTCATTTTGGAAAATGCGGAAAAAGTTGGTTAAAATCGTATATTATATGGGATTTTTGGTCACTGAGGTTATTTTCTCTTAAAAAAATTATATAGAGGAGATAGCATACTAATTATTTTAAATTTATAAAAAATTTCTTAAATTGAATTGAGAAAATTTATTTTAAATTGAATTGAATAAAAAAATTCGACAATTAACTTGAACCTAACCCAATAAAATCTTTGTACTTATATTTCTTTTAAATCCGATTTTATCAAATCGAATAATATCATTGATTGATTTTATTTTAAATTGCCGTCCTTACATAGACATAGTACAACTCTTATAGGGTAAAATAAACCCTCACCGTAAAGAAGCAGGAGAGAAGGGCAAAGTGGCTGAGTAAATGATGTGGGAAAATTTTTTTTAATATAATTCATCTCGGGGTTTATTTCCTTATTTAGGGTGAATTGAATAGTATCAACCTAAAGACGTCAGGAGTTTTATACGTCTTCAAGCTAAATATGAATCTAACAAATAGAGAAAACCTCAAGAGTACACGATGTCTTTAGACGAATAAAAAACCCTAATTCAAACAAATAATATAGTGGATACGAAAATCATTTTTCCCATAATCCTATATATGAGCGAGGAAGCCGGAGATAAGAGAACATTTCAAAATCCCACTGAAAATGGGCTTAGATGTGCTTCTTGGTTTTTCTTTCTAGTTTCACATATATTAAGTCCATCCAAAAACATGATAAGAAAGAGAAATACATATAATTAAGGGTAAACTACATATTTAGCATCAAAACTATCAGTTTTATCCATTCTAATATTTAAATTTCTATTTTTTTTAAATTTATATCTAATGTTTAGTTTTTATTTCATCTTATTACCCTTTCGTTAAAATTTTAACGGAGAGAACATTTCAAAATCCCACTGAAAATGGGCTTAGATGTGCTTCTTGGTTTTTCTTTCTAGTTTCACATATATTAAGTCCATCCAAAAACATGATAAGAAAGAGAAATACATATAATTAAGGGTAAACTACATATTTAGCATCTAAACTATCAGTTTTATCCATTCTAATATTTAAATTTCTAATTTTTTTAAATTTATATCTAATGTTTAGTTTTTATTTCATCTTATTACCCTTCCGTTAAAATTTTAACGAAACTTTTGCACGTGCCATTTTTATCATGGATCATGATTTTAAAAAACTAAAATGAAACAAAAACTAAACATTATATATGATTTTGAAAAAAATGTAAATTACAAATTTGGTAATTGAACTCTGTTCTCTCTCCTATTTCACTCATTATACTTTAAATCTTTTCAATTTTCTCACTAAACTTAACACATTAGGTTTTTTTGTCACTCAGTCGTTTTCTCACTAATGATGTTAAATGGACTGTTATATAGATGTAAAACGACGTCGTTTTGGTGATTTTTTTTAAATAATGTCATTTTAACGCCGTGAACTATTTAATGACAGAGTGACCCAAAGCACCAATATATTAAGTTAAGTGAGGAAATTGAAAACTTTTAAAGTTAAGTGAGCAAAATAGGAGAGAGAGAGAGAGTAAAGTTGAGTGATGAAATTTGTAATTTACCCTTGAAAAAATTGAAAATTTAGATACTAAAACACATCAAAACTGATAGTTTAGAGACCGAATGCTTAACTTACCCTAAAACTAAAATATGTCAAACCCCAACTAACTATATTCCTCTTCTTCCTTCCTTGCGTTCCCTTTGGCCGGCAGTATCCGAATTCTCCAAGCAACACGTACAAAATCCCTGTTCATTTCCACACGTACATACAAAACAAGATCAAAACAAAACTGGTAACAAAAAAGAACAACAAATAATTCTATGTTGAAGACGTACTTCCAGTTAAGGTCACCGGCAAGAAGAAGATCGTTCTCCATGTCTTCATAGGCAACGAGGTGACCGGGAACTGCATTAGAAAGATCAAGATCATTCTCGGAGGTGACGGTCCCGTTTTCGTCCACAAACATCTGCCTGAGAGCCTTTGCGAGGCTCTGGTAGCTTGCATGGCTATGGAGGCTGATGCGCTGACAGATGGAGCGGCCTTCGAGCACCACCGTCACGAGTGGGACGACCTTGGAAACGAGATCGTCGTCGTCGAGGCAAGTGAAACGCCTAGGGTTCAAAGAAGAAGAAGAGAGGAATCTGGAGGGGTTTTGTGTTTGAGATTCGAAGGTGTTCATCTTTGTGTTCGGTGTGTGGATTGAGGGAGAGGGAGGAGTAATGGTGGTTTGGGGATGGGACCGGTGGCTAGTGGCTGCCTGCCTTTGTAGTTGATAAATAAAGGGAGAACTATGAATGAGTTGTACTTGCCGAGGAACGAGGTACAGCTAAGAGGCTGAAAAGGTTTTGGGTCTAGACCAGGGTTTCAAATAGTGCCCGCTATCACCATAACGTCCACGATTTTGCGATAGTGCTGCCTTCCGCTACACCCGTTACATGAAGTGATTTTTTTTATATAATAGAATTTGATTTTTTTTTTAAAAAATATTTATGGGAAAGGTGATAGGGTACGTGAAGTTAAAGCAACGTGATAAAGTTTTAATCGGTAAATAAACAAATAAAATAAAGAAATTAAAATCAGTGCACCACTAGCTTAGCTAGCAAAGCTAACAAACACACTACTCATTCTTAAACAAATTCTTGTAAACTGAAACGCATGGGGCACAGACACGACCGCGCTACGGCCGGCGAACGCCTCGCTTCTTTGACTCCCGTGACGGTCGGGAACCTCATGTCATTTTACATTTTTATATATAATAATAACTTTAAGATTGTTAATAGGCCTCGATAAGTGATGATTCATTCCTTTTAATTTTGATGAAAAATTATAGTGGGTGAAGAACAATCGTCGATAGATATTTCTCTGGGAGAAAAAATAATAATAAAGACGGAGAGGAAAAATTTTGTATAAGGATCGAGGAGGTTTCAACCCCTCTCTCGATCATGTTAAAGGGTATTTATAATGACCCTAATTTGATCAGATAAAGGATAATTATGAATATTCGTAAGTCACAGGAACGAATCTAAAATTATAAAAATGAGTCCAAAATTTGTAATACTTTTTTTCTTAACAAAACAGATATGTAATTTTTTTTATTTTCTATTTCTTTAATATATTGAATTATATATAATAATTAATCTAAAATAATGGGTATACATTTGACCCTTAGAGAGTCGAATACATCCGCCCATAGTAAGTTAGTATATTAGATAGATATAATTATCAGATCTTAAATGTAATTTTGATAGATCACGTAAGTGTATCTCTTATTTGTATACTATAATTATTTTGGAGATATTTGTTTAAAGAGTGGGGGTTATTAGAGGCTCTTATAAATAAAAAAAATCATTGAAAATTTTTAACTCAGGAAGAGTTTGTAGTTGTCGAAAATTAATTATAATTATAAAATTTAATAAAATCAATTTTGAGTATTTGTTTTAATTAATTTGGGATAAAACAATACAATATTCGTTTAAAGATAATTATATTTATAAAAATTTAATAAAAAATCATATTTGTTTTAATTAATCTGGGATAAGAACAATACAACATTTGTCTAAAGATAATTCTTAACATTTTGATATTAAACATATACACTTTCTACGTCTATAAAGTTCGAACCTAAATCCTTAAGAAATAATAACAATTCTTTTATCACGAAAACCACTTAATTCATACTAATTTAGTTCATATTTAACATCAACGTAGCGACCATTTAATATGAACATACCACACATTATTTACACATATTACAACCAAAACAATAATATGTTTATATATTCACTATTTTAAGAGTTTTAACAAAGAGATAAAATCTTTAAGTACGTATTTCATTTTAAGAAAAAATCTAATAAATTATTAATAATTTATATCTCTATTCAAAATTAGATGCACGTAGATGTTGAGAAAATCAATATGTCAATTTGTTTTGTGAAAAAAGTTTTAAATACATCGATATACCGTAGCAAAAGAGATTTTACTATAAAAGACCCTTGATTTTTTTTTCTATTGAAGAGGTACACCCCGATAAATGCAATACGTAAAGTTAAATAATTAGGGATGGGCATAGGACACGAACCTGACGTGTTCCGATCTGATTGTGTCGGGTCGGATTTCTTAAAAGTGATGTTTAGGTCGGGTCGGATTCGGGTTTAAATAAAAAATACCCGACCTTACCCGACCCTAAAAAAATATAGTTTTACCTTATATATTTAAGAATAAGTACAATAATACCCTCATTATTTTTTCCAATTAAATCACTATTTTTTATTGAATAAAAATAATATTTTTATTATTTCGGGTCAGGTCGGGTCAGGTGGAGGATATATATTTTTCGGGTCAGATTAGGTCGGGTGAAGGATGTAAAATTTTTGGGTCGGATTGACCGAAACCCGTCCTATGCCCATCCCTATAAACAATCATAACACCAAAGAAAATTGTATCACAAAAGTAAAAGAAATAAAATATCACAAGACAAAAACAAATAATGCAAGAATATGCGAAAAAGATAAAAAATAAAAATAATATTTATTTAAATTTAAATAAAAAATTAAGTAAAAATGAAGCAAAAGGGGAAAAAAAACTAAACCACCACCTATGACTCCCTTTTAAAAAATATTACAGAAGGAAATGAACTTTTTAACTTGAAATATGTATATAATACAAATAAAATATACATATATCCATTCTAAAAGATATGGAAATCTTGTAATATTTTTTAAAATAGGACTCTTAGAATATTTTATAGTATGATAGAATTATAAAATATCAAAATTTATCATATTACAATGATTTCTTATAAAATAAAAAAAAATAAAAAACATGAAAAAAAATTATTGAATTTTTTCATATATACATATAATAAGAAAATTATTATTTTTAGATTAGCTTATCTTTTTCAAAGTGAGAGGCCCGCCCATGAGATTAACGCTTATCTTGTGCAGCAAGAAGCATGAGAGGAGGAAGCAGCCAAATTCGAAGGCTATGTGATGTATCATAAATTACACTTATTAATGGACGAATTTGAATGTATGGTATCTTATATATATTTATATATTATAGTTAAATTTAAATAAATATTATATTTTAAAAGATTTAAAATATATTCAAACCGTATTGACTTACAAACTAAAAATCTTTCTTTGTACTAATCAACTCATTTCAATAGTTAAAGAAATCGTTGTTGTTCCTAGAGATCACGAGTTTAAACACCTACAACTGCAGCAATATCATAATAATTTAGTATTTATTATTAAATGATTGAGAATATTTAAAATATATATTATTATATAATCACTCTCGTTAAATAAAAAAACTTTCTCTATATTAGACCCGAACCGGGTAGACGGATCACTTTTTGTTAACCCCAAACGCCGGTCCAGTTAAGTGGTCCGAATGTTGAAAAAGTTCAAAGAAAATAGAAAATTCAGTTTAAAGTGAGAAAAATTTCAAATTTTTTTGGGACAACGCTTTAAATACTTGTTACAGTTTATAGATTATAGAGAGCAGATGGACGGATCGAGTGTGGATATTCTCTCTTTCATCCTTATATTCACCTAATATTTTTTAAATATATTATCTACCTACCATTCATGATGTGTAAAATTTTTTAAATCTACACCCGTCCACACGAGAACATTCTCAAATCTATCCCTACATCCATTATCCAACTAAAGACGTACCCAATTAGATCCATGTGACAGTAACCTTATATTATACATAAGCAACAAATATAAAACAAATATGTCCATTAAGAAACATAATAAAATAAACCAAGAATTATCTGAATTAAGTGTTAACATAGATCTTAAAGTACATAAATTATAAGTTATATCTTATACAATATTAAAATTTATAAATTAATATCTAAAATTATACCTAAATTCATAATGATTCAAAATTTATTAAGTATTTAATAGGTGGACGAATATGAGATAAATAGATACGAGAAGAGATAATACGAAATGCGTAATATCTTAAATCTACCATCCACCCGCTACCCACTATGTATATTACTTTTAAAATTTACACACGTCAACCACCTACTAAAATTATACCTATCCCCGCCGGTACGTCCCGAAATTAAATTGTATCCATCCGTATAGTCATTTTCTGTCAATGCCGGCAACTGATGAAGAAATGGATCTCCCTGTATGTATATATTTTCTGAAACCCAAAACCCAACTATCGATTTTGTGTTCTTTTCTCTTTGTTTATAGCTTAAAGCGTCTTCTTATTCTTCTTCTTAACAGCCGCCTTCTCAATCCGCCTACACTATCGGGTCAGTTCATTTTTACATGACCTTCTTTCTTTCTACAATTTTTTCTTTTCATTATATATATGTTGTGCTGTTTTGTTTCAGGGAGTATACATTTGCGGATGCTGGAAACTTGGACCACTGTACGAAGTACTTGAATCAGACACTCGTTACCTTTGGCTTTCCCGCTTCTCTCGATCTCTTTGCCAACGATCCAGTGTGTTCCTCTTTTTCTTTTCCTAAATTGACATTTGAAAACAAATTAATGATCGAAAGTTAAGGATTTTGTTTTTTATGGGTAATTGATAGGTTTCGGTTGCGAGGACTTGCAATTGCATATATTGATTGCTGCAGCAGAGGCAGCGCGACATAGATTTTAGAGAGTCTGCTAATGAGCAAAGGCAACGGTAATTTTATTTTATTTTTTGAATTGTGATGGATGTTACAATTTTCCGAATTTATTTACTTTGAGGTTTAGGATGGTGCATTTTTTTTGTTGCTGGATCCTCGTTTATTTGATGGAAACTGTAATATTCTTTATAAAATTTGGTTTGAGATTTATGTTCTGGTTTTTTGTATGTCTGTGCAGAATTTATTGATTTCTTTTAGGTTGTATTTGGGAATTGGCTTTCAAAAGATAGATTTTGGTTTCTAAAACGTGTAAGTTATGTGTTGAAATACCTGTAAATGTATCATTCATGATTATATCTATTTCTAAATGTATGTATTTGTTAGATGTTTATTAGGGGCGAATTTGAAATTCGAATTTTTCATGCATTTCAAATGTATATCATATTGAATTTTAACTAATTTATATATATTGTATGCATTTCATCTTTACAATTTCTGTAGTGAATGAAATCCAATTCTAAATTTTCAAGTTCCTGTTCCCCAATATAGCATTAGATTATTGTTCCTTGCTT